CTTGGACTCACAGAGATCCATCTGTCTCTACAGCCTGAGTCCTAGCTTCTGGCTGTTGGAATTAAAGGTGTGTACCTGGCTTCTATGGCTTGTGGCTGACTTTGCTTTCTGAGTTCTTGGGCAAACTTTAATAAACCATTAATAATATGTCACTACAAGATTCAGTGCTTCCAGGTCAGGTGTGGAGACCCACATCCTGAGGAGAAGTTGATTAGCCAAACTTGGAAGCCCTGACTCCGTCAAGCTGCCCTCCTGTCCACACAGCAGTTGTAGGACTGGACAAAAGTCACCAGATGTAGACAAGTCGACAGGTCTGGCACTTGGGGTTCCCACCATCCCTCCCCCCAGCCTCCTACTCCATCCACCACCTTCACACTCTCTTTGATTTATATTCTTCTCACCCCCTTTTCTCTAGAATGCCAATTATACCTTTGCTCTTGGGGAATCCACACAATGTCTAGACGTTATAGCCAGGTGCCAGTATGGAGGAGGCAGACTGTGTGGTCAGGGAAGACTGCAGTCGGGGGACCTGAGTTGTAGCTAGCGAATAGAAAGGAGGATGTCAAATGAGGAGGGGGCGTCTTGTCAGAGAATCATTGGGGGATCACATGTAGTAGTAAAGACATGATGGAGATGCCTTCTTCGTATTGATTACATTTGTCATCTCTCTCTTTAAAAAGCACGGATTACAAAAACATACAGTTTTCTACCCAAACACACAGGTTTCTCCAGTCATTTTTTTTCCTATTCTCTGTGCCCCCTACCCTCTCACACCCAGGACTCCAATTATACATGTTAGCAATTCCTTTTTCCCTACAGAATTACAAGGCACAAGACTACCATGGTACTTTTATTTGTTTATCTAACTAGCAGTCTTGGATAGTCTGGTCCTTCTGATACATTTTCTTTCTTTTTTTAAAAAAGGCTTTATTTTATTTTTATTTAAGAGGATATGTGTATCTCTCTGTGTGTATGTGTCCATGTATGCAGATCCCAAGGAGACCAGAAGAGGGCATCAGATCTCTTGGAGCTGGAGTTGTTACAGACTGCTGTGAGCTGCCCTATATGGGTACTAGGAACTGGACTCTGGTCTTTGCAAGAATAGCAAGTGCTCTTAACTGTTGAGCCACCTCTCTTGACCCATCTGTTTACATGTTTTCAAACTCACTGATCTTTTCTTCTACATTTCAAATTTGCACTACACATTTTTGTTTTCAGATAGCAAATTTGTCCTCTCAAGAGGTTCGAGTTCATTCTGTTCCTCATATTATAACATATTCCATGTTTATATATATATTAACAGTGGATGGAGCTAGAAGAAAAAGAATCTTAAATGACCCCAACAGACCAATAAAATGGTATGTTTTTGCTTGTATATGGATGTTAGTTTTTAAGTCTTTGATGTGCAGGCTACAATCTGTGTAACTGTAGAGATTTGGTATAGAATAAGGGACTGGGGTTGGGGAGACTTCCCAAGGAAAAGGAAACAGAAGGTATGATTATGGAGAAATGGCTGTGAGGGTGGTGGGTGGAGACTGGAAGGAAAGGATTAAATGGAGAGGAGAGAAGAAGGGAATAGGGGAGGGGCTGCAAACAAGGGTGGCAGAAACCAAAGGCCATTTGAGGGATTTCATGGAAACCTGCTCCAGTGGAAACGACTTAAAATATACACATATATCATAGTAACCTAAATGGAATTACCAAATAACAGGGGGGTCCCAACAAGACATCTCTTGATACCAAATGAAATTTCTAATGCCGGGAATGGATTACATCTATTGAATTGTTGGTCAATAGGGACACGTGGAAAGCCCTGAACAATCCAGGCTGTTGCCAAGGCTATCAGTTGCTTTCCACAAACTGATTGATAATTAAAAAATAACAATAAAAAAACTGTTGCTAAAGACACTATCCCTGTGACTCACTGAATCTGAAACAGTCGAGGTGGTACCTACCTAGAGCCTTCATACCTATTGACTAGTGTTCATGGTACTGGAAGGGATTCTGCATGCTACTAGAGGAGAAAGGCAAACACTGACCCAGCTACAAACCCTTCAGTCTGCAAGGTGACTGCCTGCAAAACAAGCAGGCTTAATGGTGGCTTGCAAGTTATGGCAGTAACCAGCCACTCTCTGGCTGAAACCCATGCCTGACACTGCTCAGGTGGCCAAAACCCTAAGACTAGATGAGGTCTGGACCTACAGGAAAGCCAAATACCACTGTTGTGCTATAAGAACATACAAAACTTCCAATATCATTCTGCTGTTCTAATGGATCAGAGTCTTGCTCAGCCATCGCTGGAGAAGCCTCCACTTACAGTTAGGTGGGAACAAATACAAGACCCATAGCTGGGAAATGGGCAGAGAATGAGAGACTTTGGAACACTTGGTGATGTTTTTATCAAATCCCTGTCCTCAGGGCTCAGGGAACTCCGCAGAAGAGGCAGAAGAATTGTAAGAGCCAATGTGGATGGAAAGCAAGTCATTCTAGATACAAAAGGACTGACATGGAGTTGATGCACAGAGACTATGGAGAATGCACAGGGTCTGCTTAGGCCTAAACCAGATGGGGTACCAGAACTGAGAGGGGAAGTGAACACAAGCCCCAATCCCTAACTCAGAAGCTATCTCCAGTTGATAACCACTTGCAAAGGAAAACTTAGCTTTCTCCAATGGAGTCTCATTGGGTATATGAACAACTCAGGCTCCAGCAGTAGATGACCAACACAATGATATTTTTTGAGGTCTTTTTGTTTTTGTTTTGTTTGTTTGTTTGTCTCATAATGCATTTTCTGAGCTACCCCCCATTTATAGGTCCTTTGTTTATATGTTATATTTTCCAATTTTGTGGGGTTTTTTTTGTGATTTCTCTGTGTGTGCATCTCTGCATCTGTATAAATTTCTTGTGTTTTCTTGACTCTTATTTTTCTGTTTGTTTTGTTTTATCCTGGTGTGTTTGTTTTTATTTTATTTTATCATTTTTAGATGCCTGTTCTTTTTTCTAGTGATCAAGAGAAAGAAAGCATGGATTTGGGTGGTTGGGGAAATAGGAAGAATCTGGGATGAGTTAGGGGAGGGGAGACTGTGATCAAAATATATTGTTAAAAATAATTTTTCAAGAAAAAATTTAAGATATACTTTAATTGATTGTTTTAAAATCCTGCCTGTGAATTCCTTGATGTACATCATGACTGGGTGTGTTCCCATCATCTCAGTTTTTCTTCTGACACATTTTCCATTGTGAACCAGAGTTCTGTGGAAAAGTGTATTCAAGTGTTTGACCTGGGGTGACTAGAGCATTATGATTGTGAAGAACTGGAATGCTGCCAATCAAGAGTCAAAGTTATCCCCAACTATTTATAGTCCCTTTTGATGGGCAATTATTATCAGCTTCTGTGTCCTACTAACCACTCAGTTGGAATGCACAGCTAATCTTGCCAGACCTCAACCCTCTATCAACTCCAAAGCTAAGACTATGACAACTGCCTGGATCTTGTAAAACAGATTTTCTCCCTTTTCACCTTAGCTGAGGCTCCCAGAAGGCCACTGGTGTGTGACTATAACATGTAGATTTTTTCCATGGTGGAAGGTGTCATTCAGGGCCACTTGGATCTGTCTTTCTCTGGCTGTGGCAAAGAAGCAGTGATTTTCATATTTCCTGTAAAGCACAGTTGTGATTTTATGCCAGCACTAGTCTTTGACTGTCGAGAAATTTGGGGTTGGATATTGGGCCATCGTGACATCATCATTTTGCTCTCTGGTCTTGTCCAGGCATGTTGTTGAGCTCTAGGATTAGTCTAGTGAAACTTTAAACCAAAGTTAGTTCAGTTCCATCTCCCAGCTTCCCATGGGCTCTCCATCTTTGATGGTCTTAACTTGAATATGTGATTTCCAGTGTCTCAGTGGTCCCACACATTTTTTTACTGGTTTTGGGTGGGTAGGGGATGGGTGGAGGTCTGTTTATACCAATTCATATCAAGCCCAGTCTCTCTGCTTTGGACGGAAGTGTAATCCAAATGACACACATGTACTTCCCGTGCTACTGGCACTTCGATGGAGCCAACGAGTTTTCAACACCCTGACCCTCCTGCCCATTTCCAGTCAGCACCACTCCTCAGGGGCAAGCCGCTCAATTAGTTCCATTTCAGTTCAATGACCCGTTCAACAAGTACTCACAGAACACTTGGTGTTGGCCAAACAGTAGGTATGCAGGGAGGGCAAGAGCCCTGACTCACACAGTGTTCAATAGCACACACAGATGTGAAGTCACGACAGTCATGACTGCTTTGCCCAACCGGCTGATGGTAGCATGGAGACACCTCATGTGGGTCATGAAAGGCAGCTTTCTTGGAGGCAGTGATGTGACTTAGGACCTAAACAACTGAATAGGAGTTAACTAGCGGGAAATTGGAAGAAAGAATTGGGACCCAGGAATTGGGTCCGAGCAAAATCAAAGTGATTATCCCCAAATGGGGCAGAATAGGATTGGAGGAGTTGAGATTGAGGCGGTCTGGGTTGAAGAGGCCCCGCTGTGCCAGGTGAAGGGCAAGTCTCCCAGCTTTGGGAGACTGTTGAGACTTTTGGGGCGATGGAGCCTCACAACAAGACTTATCTGCAGCTGCTTCGCTGCCACCACCATCCACCAGGCCGAGAGTCATCTGTGCCGAGACTCTTCCTCATTCCCCGTGGCTGGGGATGCCTGACACTGGAAGTGAGGAATGGCTCTCAGGTATGGAGGATGGGTACCGCTGCTGCTGCAGATGCTGATAAAGGTTTGTCTGGGGCTCTCATCAGGAAGCCATTTGCGAAAGTTGGTTCCAGCTTGGCCTACTACTGTGCTGGAACTTGCTAGTAACATCAGGAGGCGCTGGCTGGCAGGTAGGCAGTTAGAGATGCAGGAGTTCAGAGGGAAGGCACCTGGCTAGAGATGAAAAGTGCTCCTTCGTCATTTGCATCTCTTCCCAATGAAGCTGTGGGTGTGGTGAGAGCTGTGGGGGAGATGAAGAGCTGGCAGCCAACAGCTGAGGACTGCTGGCTTATAAGGATCACCTGGAGGACCGGACCCCATCGAGGGGAGGAGGAGGAGGTGGGGGAGGAGCAGAGGTTTGAACAAAATCCAGCTGCCTAAGGGCTGACTGGAGCAGGAGCCGAGGCTGCCTTTGTTGTCCTACTCCAGGGAAGGCAGGTGAGGTGAACATTTAGACACATTTCAAGGCATGGATCAGGGTCCTGCGGTTATGAGTTTAAAATGAGGGTGCAGGGTCGGGGGCGCTTGAGGATGGACAAGGTGGCTCCAGAATGCATAAAAGGAGGGAAGCTGCCTCTGGTTGTCGGGTTCTTTCTTGTGACTACACTTGAGCTTGTTTAAAGCCAATATCCAGATTGGTGGGGAGACAGTGTATTGAATACTGAAATGGAGTTGGGGGTTATGGGATGGTGGCAAGCAGAGTGGCAGCTGGTGGAGTGGTCATGGAGGGGAAAGTACCCTCTCCCACAGGATGGAGAAGATGTGGGGTGGGAGGGAAGGCTGGCTGAGGCTGCTCATACATATTTGCACGGATGTATGTGTGATTGTACATGGCTGCATGTGCCTTGTTTCTGGTCTATTGGAAAGATGTCTTCCTGCAGAAGGTAAGTTGACCAGTAGTGGAGCCAACTTCCGCAGGCACGCTGGACAAAGAGGAGGCACCTGAATGGTCTCTACCAGGCTGAGAGCCACCAGGCTAGGACACCACGTTGAGGTGGGTATGGGTTGGATGGAATGCTCTGCACCCAAGCTGGGTCAGGAAGTCCCCGAGGCTGGGAATTGTGGTCACCTGTAGGATGACAGAATACCTGGGCACCTGCAGGTGAGCCTTATCATAGTGGGAAAGCAGCCTGCAAGACAGAAGCTTGGGTATCTCTTCTGAGCTCCAAGGGGGACAGTGAGAAACTGGGAGTGACATGCCAGGTCCACATAAGGAAGTCACCCTGTGTGCAGGGTGATGAGTGACAGGGGTGGCAGGCATTTGAGTAATAGCCCTGAGAGACAATGGAGGGTGGTATCAAAGCTGGGCTAATGGGAGGGATGGGCCTAGATGGGACGAGCCCAGGAAAGACGATGTCCCTGTCACCCCCGACAGGTGGAGCCCACTGGCAGGATGTGGACATGCACCTGAGCTACAACAGGGCAGGGGAGAGGGCTTGGCAGGGCTAGGAGAGAGACAAGAGTTGGGAGAGCCATGGCAGCGCTGGACCTGTCTGGGAGACTGAAGAGGGAATGTGGCTGGATTTGAAAGCTGAGAGAATAAGCTTTGGCTGGTGACGTTTTCAAGGACTCTGATGACTGGGGTCTTGAGGAACCCCAGGCTTTTCAGGAAGGGCCTCTTTGGGACTTCCTTCCCCTGAGCTCCTACAAGATGCAGCGGCTTGCCTGAGGTCAGAGGGACCAAGGCAGCCTCTTCCCATGTGTGTAGCTAGGATTCCCTTTCTTTGGCTCCATCCCCTCTTGATGTCCATGAATAGTTAGGGACAGTCAGTACCTTCCAAGTACAAAGCAAGAAGGGGAAGCAGCTTCAAGCCCCTGTCCCCTGTACACAGTACACACCATTCTGCACTGTGCGGACATCATCTCACTTTCCATCAGCACCACCCTCTGTGTCAGTGGGGGACACTGGGGTGATGGAACCAGTGCTTCTGGGTAAGGGAGTGGGGAGATGGGTGGGAGGTAATCATAGTAAACAGCTACTACTGTCCAGTGTGAGCAAACAGGTGGAGCACTGAGCATCAGGGTGGAGGGTGGAAGGAGAGGTCAACCCTTGGAGGGTGTTTGTCTGTGCTTCCAAGAAGCTCTGGAGGCAGAGATGGTGGAGATAATGGGAGCATTCTATTGAAGGACACATAGTCAGAAGGGGAGGCAGAGCCTCCAGGACAGTACAGGAGACGAGGGGAACAGAGGAAAGAGGTGCTGGAGATAAAGTACAGTTTACAGCTTGGCTGGTAGCCCATAGTGTGTCTCTTGGACAAGGGAGAGACTGAGCTCTGCTCAGTCATCTTAGGCTCAGCATGGAGCAGACTGTTAAGAAGCCAGGAAGTGAAGCCCTAGAGTGTGGCTTACAGAGACAGCCCAATTTCCAGACAGACAGACACGTGCAAGACTACAAAGCAGAAACCGAAGTTTGCAAAAGGATTCACCATGCAGACCCTTCTAAGTTTGATGGGATCAGATGGTGCAGGAAGTGCTCAGCCAGGTGTGACATGGATGAGTAACCCTGTGGATATGTTTGTGACTTTTCTCTAAGGTCCTCTTGCCTTTCCCCTTTCCTGTGTCTGATGAAGTTATCGTTTCACTTGTTGGCTAGAATCTTGTTTTGGGTGTGAAGGCTTTCCTTCTCAGTAGTAGCATCTATGTCCTCATGACAAGAATAAGTAGCAGTTGTGCACATTGTAGTGTGAGTGACCAGACAGCAAACTATGACGGAGGGTAAGGGGCTTATAACAGGACGATGGAGTGAAGGCTGTCTACACCATAGAGAAGCGGTTATAAACTAAGGAGAATGTTTAGACTAGACGTCAGAAGCTCACGACTTGCTAGAACCTGCGCTGGTCTTTTCGACTTTGTCTTGGCCCAGATCCCACACTGCCTTTTAGTCCTTCATCTCCCTCTTTCACAGACTCTTGGAGTCAAGCCACAGGGCCTCTGTGTAAATGTGTTAAAGCAGATTTCTTACCGGTGGCACAGGGTGGTTTAGGAACTGAACGGGGCTGGGAATGATGGCCTAGAATGATCGCTGCACAAAATTACCCTAAATCAAATTGCCGAAGTCAATTAAAGCAGAGCAGCGATGAAAGTAACTTACCGAGCACCCACTGTACCGATCTCAATTGGTTAACCCTACAAGGGTGACTCCTATTTACAAAAACAAAACTGAGAGCTAAGGTTGGGATGGGCTCCTTGCCTGTGATGCATGTCAAAGTTAATGTAGACACAGTCCTGTTCTACTGGAGGTTCTTACTGCCACCAAGCCACTTAATCTTGTTGAAATGGAGGATGACAACAGATCTAGTCGTGTGAATCCTCTCTCTCCCCCCCCCCTCTCTCTCCCTCTGTGTGTGTGTGTGTGTGTGTGTGTGTGTGTGTGTGTATTCAGGTATATGAGTATGCAAGAGTGCATATGCCTATGTGTTCCCACACAGGTGAAGTTCAAGAATCTTGGGTGTCACTTCATGGGTACCATCCACTTTGCTTTTGAGACAGGGTCTCTCGCTGGTATAGAATCCTTCAGGCAGGCTAGACTGGCTGGCTAACAAGTTCCAGGGGTCTACATGTCCTTGCCTCTCCAGAGCTGGGATTACAAGGTTGCATCAACAAGTCTGCCTTTTTTAAACCTGGGCTTTGGGGGACTCAACTCAGGTCCTCATGTTTGTAAGGCAAATACTGCACTGACTGAGCTTCCTTCCCAAGGCCGGATTTTGCAGACCTCAGTTGGCTTTATTTGTAATGACAGAATTAGGCAGCAGTCTGGATCAGAAACCATTCAGAGCTCCCCAGCCACCAGTCACGGTGGTACCTACCCATAATCTCAGCATTTGCAGGGGTGGAGGGAGGCGGGAGGGTCACAAGTTCATGCCAGGCTAGACTACATGGGAGAGACACTCTCAGAAAGCAAATGATACAATAAAACAAAGTTCCATGTGGACAGCAGGTGACCTATGGAAAACCCAGGGGGCAGCCTGACTGGTCTGTGACCACCTGATCTGACCCCAGTTTGAATAGTCGGCTGTCTGTGATTGGCTAACACTCCCCCTGCTTTTTACACTGACAGGTTACAGTCTATTTACAAAACAGGTGGGGTTACAGTTCACTGAATATGGAAAAACATTTGGGCCAAACTTAATTCACTTTAACACTTTGATCCTCACATTCCAATATCTTTCTAGTTGAGGCTTGAGGGGAGCGGGCAGCCCTGTCCGGAGCCAGCTGCTCCAAAGCACCAGGAAGCTCAACGGCCCAAGGAGAGCAGTTTGATCTGGGTTTCCTCTTCCCTCCCATCCCTTCCTCTCCCCTTTCCTCTTTCCCCCCTCCCCTACTTTGAGTCAGAATCTGGCTTTGTAGCACAGGCTGAGCTGGAGCTCATGGCAATCCTCCTGCCTCAGCCTTCCCAGTGCTGGGGTTACAGACACACCCTATCATCCAGGCCTGCCACTTTTTTTAGACAGAGTCTCACTATGTAGCGCTGGCTGGCCTGGAACCTTCTGTGTAAGCTAGATTGGCCTCAACTTCACAAAGCTCCACCTGCTTCTGCCTCTATCTCCCTAGTGCTAAAACTAAAGGCTGGCTTTCTGTCCTTTTGGTGTGGGGGTAGGGTCTCATGTAGCCTAGGCTGGACTTGAACTCCTATGTAGTAGGGATGACCTTGAATTTTTAATCTTCCTGCTTCTCCCTCCCCGTAGTGCTCGGATTGCATGTGTTTGCCACCATGTCCGGTGCTGGGGGTGGAACCCCAGAACTTAGTGCATGCTAAGTAAACACTTTACCAACTGAACTACGTCCCCAGGCTCTGGTTTCCATGCTTTCAGAGGTATGCACACATTAGTAAATGCATGTGGCTGGGAACAGACAGGGCAGGGAGGCAATGATCCCATCCATCCAGAAGGGATGAGAACGTTTAGGGGCCTCTGCGAAGGGCTGGCAGTCACTTCTGACTTTGAGGATCAGGACTTTGGTCCCCATGTTTGCAAGGTAACACACTTTTCAATGTCCGGATGGTTTAAAGCATAAATGGAAGAGGCAGGCAGTGAAAAGCCTGGGCTTTGAGATGGAGCCCTAACTGGCTCTCCAGTTAGCATACAGCCTCACCTATGACCTGTGCCAAGTTACACGGCCACACCCTCACCAGGAGGATCAGAACATACACAGCACTGACTTGGCAGGATGTCTGTGAGGCTCAAATGAGACTCCAAGCAAGAGTGGAAGGTGAGCCCCCAGCCTACCTCCCCACCATGGGCCCCTTCTATTTTACAGGCTTTCTTCCTTCCAAATGGGCTCTTCCTTTTACCAAGTTCTCCTATTGGTTGGCTTCACTGCTCCAACTTTCTGCATGTTCTCATCCAATCGAAATCCCAGCAGCAGAGAGTCCCCCCCACCTCCCTCCATGAAGAGCAACCCGGCCTCCAAGGTGACTCCAAGCAACACCATGTTCGCCTTCTCCCTGTACCAGAGGCTGGCTCAGGAAAGCCCAGGTCAAAATGTTCTCTTTTCTCCGGTGAGTATCTCGACTTCCCTGGCCATGCTGTCCCTGGGGGCCCGCTCAGCCACCAAGATGCAAATCCTCCGGAGCCTTGGCTTTGATCTCATGACCACACCAGAGCCCACCATCCACCTGGGCTTCGAGCATCTGGTCCACTCCCTGAATGTGTGCCACAAAGCCCGGGACTTGAGGATGGGCAGCGTCCTCTTTATCAGGGAGGAGCTGCAGCTGCAGGCCAGTTTTCTGGACCGGGTCAAGAAGCTATATGGGGCAAAAGTCTTTCCTGAAGACTTCTCAAACACAGCCACCGCCCAGGCACGGATCAACAGCTATGTGCAGAAGGAGACCAAAGGCAAGGTGGTGGATGTAATCCAAGAGCTTGGCTCTCAGACCGCCATGGTCCTGGTGAACCACATCTTTTTTAAAGGTGAGGCTGTTTCTCTTTTTCTTTATTCTGTTCCTTCCCTGTTTATCTGCCTGGGTGTTTGAATGTTTGTCTGTTGTTGTTGTTTTTTTTTTTTTTTAAATCAGGGTCTTATGTATTCCAGGATGGCCTCCATCATGCTTTGTAGCTGAGGATGATCTCCTGGCCTCCATGTCCTTAGTGCTGGGATTATAGGTGTGTTCACCACACAGCATTCATGCAGGGGCACTGAACCCAGGGCTCTGTGCATGCCACACAAATCTACTGACAGAGACACAAGACTAGCCCACCCCGATTTACATTTCTTTTCTTTTTGGTGTTGTGTAGTCAAGGAAACAAGTATGTACAACAAGCCCCAGACAGCGGCAGGGTGTGCCTGAGGTCTCATCAGCTTCGCAAGTAGCTACCTGCACGTCCTTGGCCGACTTCCGTTCTCTCTCCCAGTTGCCATTCGTTAATTAACATGGGGCCTCGTTCAGCTTTGTCTTAGCATGAAGCAAGGGGCTGTCCTAAAGGCCTGACTGGCACTGCGTTCAGCAAAGAGGACCCCAAAATGTGCTCTGGGACTTTTGGGGACAAAAAAGAGCTTTACTGCTCCCTGTAAAGTTCGGAGCAGTGACACAAGGGTCCCTGGCAGGCCAGTTTAAAAAGTCATCCCCACAGTGAGAATAGTTCCAAGGATTTGGAAGTGTGGACAAGCTGGCCTGTCACTCACGAGAGCGTTGTTGCTTACAAAGACACTATCATGAGTGCCACTGCTCCCAAGCAGTGCGGGCATCAGCTTTGAAACCATACAGCTCTAGGTTTGAAGTCTGCCCCGCCCCTCTCTTGTCCCACACTCCAGAGTGTGTTGCTGCTGTTAAAATCTGCCAGGGACTAAGTGGCCACTCTGTGTCTGTGCCGCTGGGCTGGGCAGTCGCTAAGTCCACAGAGCCTCACAGGACCATGCTGGAAGCCAAGTGCCTGGACTTCCTTCCCTCCCTCCATCCTTCCATTTACCCGACTACTACATCCACCCAGCTTTTCTTCCATGCATCCATTTTTTTCCGATTAAGCAATCCAGTCTGCCCATTAGTCTAGTTATCCATCCACACATCCACCAAACACAGAAAAGGGGGACAGAAAATTGAGCCATCCTCCTTCATTGGTGAGTTATCGTCACTTGCTATATATTCTCCAGTTGGTTTAGTTCTAATGAAGGGTCATGCACACAGTGTAAGTCCATTTGAAAGTGCCCAAGTCCATGTCCTCAGCTGCTGGTCCTCAAAGGCTGTTCTGGAAGTAGGGGCTGTCACTCACATCTGTCTAGCTCTCTGCTGTTTCCTGGGACAGGGTAAGGAGCACTTTCCTGAAGTTGAGTGAGCATCAGCTTTGAAAACAGATACCAGTTACTCTCTGTAATTCCACAGCATGTTCTCTTCTTTGGAGGGAAGACTCCCACCCCTCCAACCCCTGCTCTTCCCAGTAATCTACTTTACGTTTCTGCAATCTGTCTATTTCAGACATTTCAAATAAAGTAAGTGAAACAATAGGATTCCAGGACTCATCACCCCCAGGCTTCTGTGTTCATGTTCAATAGCATAATTCCCTTTACTGGGGCCTATCCTTTGTTTGTATGGGTCCCTGCTACTGTCTCCTTCCAACCTGAGGGGCTCCTGTAGGACTGGTAGAAGTTATTTGCTTCGTTTCATCCAACTACTGTTGGATCCTCACATTTTGTGATCAGAAATCATCTGCTGATCTTATTGAGGCCACCTGATCTGTGACAAGTTGCTTGTGAAGCTCCTTTGCCCTTGGACTGATTATGACATGTCTGGGCGTGGAAATCACTGACTGTGCCGCAAGGTTTTTGGTTGTTTTTTTTCAAATCAGGTTTTGGGAGATTCTGGATGTTTCTTCTTCCCATAGCCACCCTCCTTTTTCTTTCTCTCCTTTTGGAGTCCCAGGATGTGTGTATTGGTGTGCTCGATGGTGTGTCCCGGGTGTGTTGCTGGCTTTCCTCCATCTTTTTCCTCAGTAACCCTCATATTACACACATAACTGACACATTTTCTGGTTCACAGGTTATTGTCTCCCATTAGCTCTAATCTGCTGTTGAATATCTCTAGAGAATCGTCACTTCTGTGAACATAATTTCTATCTGTAGACTATGTGACGGCCTCAGATCATTTCTTTGCAGGCAGATGCTTACTCAAATACCGTTTCTTTTGGCTCTTTGAGAGCATGTTCGAATTAGCTGCTTTGATGTGTTTGATTAGTAAGGGCCATATCTAGGCTTCCTTAGGAACACTTTCATTAACTTTTTCCCACCCCTTAATGTTTGGGGCACACTTCCTTGTTTCTTTTAATGACCCCTTTTGATTGTTTGTTTTATTTTCTTTAAAATATTTTTGTTATTGATTTTAAATTATGTGTATGCATATGTGTGCATACTTGTGATAAGTATTTATACACAAGTGCAGTTGCCTACAGAGTCCAGAAGAGGGGACTCAGACCCCCTAGAACTGGAGCTACAGGAAGATGTAAGCTGGGAGCTGAACTGGCTCCTCTGGAGATGACTCTTATCGCCTCCTTGTATGATTTCAGCCCAGCATTGTAAATGATGTAAACTAATTCTAGATATAAAGTCCCCTCCCAGAGGGTCCATTCTGTTGCTATTCATTGTGGCCCTTGTTTCCTGTTTCTTCCAAACGAATCCTTTAAAATCACAGATGTCTTCTTAGCTGGAAGATCTCCCAAACTTTGCAGGGGATGCTGCATGAATATTGCAGCTTCCCACTCACACTTGACTGAACAGTCTTATCATTTTGACTCACCCTTCATTTTATGTTTGTGAACCCCAAGGCCAGCTGGCAGTGAGAGCCCTGAAATGCCTAGATATTTCCCAAGCTGCCTGGGGCCGCTACATGTTTGAGATATATGCTGGAAGTTTCTAAATGCCCTGTAAACTACTTGATTCTTTAGACATTTATTTGTTTATTTCTCTGTTGTTTTATCTCTTATCACCCCCAGGGAAGTGAGGATGTTTGCCTGTAATGGCATTTGAAACACATCCCCACATCTCTAGGGAGAAGGCATTAAACACAAAGTAATCTTCAGTTAGCTGTGTGACCCGCCCCCAGGCAGGCCACACCATGATAGTCCTTTAGTAATAACATATTGAAAGCCTCTCCCCACTACTCTGTCTGCACTAATCCAGTGTTCAATCCTAGACTGCTTCTGAGCTATGGGATGGCTAAGGAGGGGCCTAGTAAAGGTGTCACAAAGCTGGCCATTCATACCAAGATTCAGCCATTTGTCTTAAATGAGCCCTCCTCAGGTCACCACAAGGCTCTGATTGCCAGATTTCTAAAAGACTGGGACCATGTTTAGGGAAGCATAGGCATGCAAAGGGACTTACTTTGTCATTTTGCTGGTAGGGGCTTCCTCCTCTCTTCCCAGCTTGCCCTCTTAAGCTTTGTGGTTAGTGGATTATTTGCCTCAACTGTTATGTACTGCCTGAGGTGTTTCAGACTTCTGCCTGCTACTGTCTTGGCAACTGTCCTTAGGGAAATGATATTTGCCTTGGCTGAACTCCAAGTCAGATTAAATACAGACAGATTTTATAAGTCATTCATTTGGTATTGCAGGATGGGCAGGTCATCTAAAGGCAATTCTTTGGGAATAAGTCTATGGCTGTTGCTCTGAATTATGTTCTCTTTCTATGGCTTGAGATAGTCTCAAACTCAGTCTTCCAGCCTTGGCCTTCTGAGTTTTGGGTTAGAGGTGGGAACCACTATGCCTGACTGAAAATGTGTCTGTAAAGTGTTCCAGCCCCATCTTAATTTCAGTGAAAATGTTGGCTGTTATTTTTCATGACCATACAGAATGAGGAATGTAGTCTAGTACTAGACCACATTAGAATACCACAGACTTGACAACTTCTAGCAAGAGGCTGTTTATTTTCATTCACATTTTGTTTCTCAGTTAGCTATAAGGATTTAAATATTTTCCATGGTTAGAAATTAATCAATTCTGACCATTGTTGGCAGTGTGTGTGTGTGTGTGTGTGTGTGTGTGTGTGTGTGCTCTAGGGTACATGTGTAGTGTTCAATAAGTGGAGTGTATTCATATGTGTACAAATGTGTGTGTGTGTGGTATAAATGTGAATGGTGTGTGTGTGATATGTGATATTGTGATATTTGGGGTGTATGTGGAAGTGTGTAGGGTGTGTGGTATGTATGTAGTGTATGATGAATATGTGTGAGTGTGTGTGTGTGTGTGTTTATGGTATATTTGTGTGTATGCAAGCATGGGAGTGGTATGTGTGGTATATTTGTGGTGTGTGTGTGGCATGTGGTATGTGTGTTTGGCATATGATATGTGATATGTGTGTGTGGCATGTATTTGTGGGTTGTATATGATGTGTGTGTTATGTATTTGCAGGGGGTATGTATATGTGGTGCATGCGTTTGTGCCTCTGTGTGTGGAGTGTATGGTGTGCATGTGTTTGTGTGTGTTTTATGTATGTGTATGTGTGTGTAGTGTGTGTTACATATACATGTAGGGGTTATGTATAGGCCCAGCAATCTAGCCATAGTTGTTTTTATGGGTAAGTGAGTTTTCAGGGGTCCTCATCCCCCCCCCTTTACCTGGCAGGCTGCAGGAACATAAAACCCTCTCCTTTTTTTTTTTTTTTTTTTTTTTTTTTTTTGCACTGATGGAACCCCTCCCTCTCTTCTTTCTCCATGCTAGCCAACTGGACACAGCCCTTTAGTGCTGCAAATACCATCAAGAGCTTCCCATTCCTTCTGAGCGGGGGCACCACTGTGCACGTTCCCATGATGCAGCAGACAGAGCTGTTTGCTTTTGGAGTGGACAGAGAGCTGGGCTGCTCTGTGCTGCAGATGGACTACAGGGGAGATGCCGTGGCCTTCTTTGTCCTCCCTGACAAGGGCCAGATGTGGCAGCTGGAGAAGAGTCTGTCAGCCAGGAGGCTGAGAAAGTGGAGCCGCTCACTCCAGAAAAGGTGCACATTGCTGTCAGTTTGCTCCGAGCTGTTCATCCAAGATGGGTTCGCAGAGGGTGGGGGATGTGGTAGCAGCTATTTAGTATTTAGCAACCAGTCCTGTGTGCTAGCGTCCACTGCCGTCAGATGGTGAATTTGATACCTGTGTCCACACAGCCCCACCTGAACTTCACCATCAGGAGGCACAAAAACAGTTTCATCATCCCCTCCCTCCGCCTTCCCCCTTTCCCAGCTGGAAACAGGCTCCTCGAGGCTGAGTGACCAGAGGAAGAAACAATTGACTTTGACTCACAGTTCCAGAGGAGTAAGAGTCCATTACAGCAGGGAGGCACAGTAGTGAGTGGTAGGCATGGTGACAGGAACAGGAAGGTGACAGGACACAATACCTTCAACTGCTAGCATGAGAGAGGGCAAAGGCTTTAAACTCCTGAAGCCCACCCCGTGATGTCATTCCTCCAGCAAGGCTGTACTCCCTCATAGCCTCTCCAAGAAGCACTACCAACCGGGACCAAGTGTTTGGATGCCTGACCCCAGAGGGAGCATTTCTCATTCAAATCACCACGGTGAATCACCCAAGGCCACACAAGCAAAGCTATTCTGTCACTGTGGTATATGTCCAATTAGATGCCACCCCAGAAGCCAAGGTGACATTGAGTTTTATGAAATCATGTTTGTAAAGGCAAGAAAGCAAACCTATGAAGGTCTTGGCGCTCACTCGTAAAAGTGAGGGCCACGGTGTCACTGAGGTACTGGCATCAGAGGTTGCTGAAGCTATGCTGGAAAGTTCTGGGCAGAACAAGTGCCTAACCAACATCAGTTAACAGCAATGATACAAAAGATTATTGAATATTTATTTTAAGTCTCTTTACGTGATTTCCCTGGCATCATCATCAACCTCTGGTGTTTGTTGTCAAAAAGGAAAGAAAAGAATAATAGGCATTTAAGTAGGACAAGGACCAATGTCCCAGGAAGGCAAGCAGAGTGTCCAGGAACTCATGAGCAGAGGGAGCTTGCTTTAGGCAGGGGAATACTTCAAAGGGGCAGTAACGACATCACCACAAGCATGGACACGCAGTGATGGTCAGGGTCTGGGCTAGATGTTTCCAGGTTCCTGACCCCTTATTCAAATGGAATGCAAGACCGTGTAGATTTCAAAATAGCAAGGAAATTGTCTTCAAAGTGAAGCTGCAATACAGATCAGAAAGAAACAGGCTGGCAAGGTTGGCCACAGGTCACACAACTGGGGCTACTCAGAGACCCGATTGTCTGGAGCTTCCTTTTAAGTGGCTCAAGGGAGGAGGAGTTGATGTGTAAGGGCATAGCAAGGGTGATCTCCTGCTGTGATTTATAGATTAGGTCATTGTTTGCTGTCCATGTCTCTTCTTATAATGCATCTCATTTTAATCATATGCACACCCAATTGTGCACAGACCTAAGTTGCTAAACCAGGAGCTCTCCCTAAAACTTCATATAGTTTTCCTTATTTATTCGCATCCCAAACCAGTCTAGGCTAGATATGTCCATTACCCATAGTTCCAGATTGTGTTCTGGGACATGTTATCAAGGGGTTCTTAAGGGAAGTATGTGATTCCATTGATAAATCAGTTGTATGTGCAACTCTGTGTAGGTCAGGGGTCCTAGGTGGTCAACAGTTTGCTACATACATTGTTTGGGAGGGAATTTAGTGCTTAGCCCAGATCAAGGGGTCCCAGGTCACTGAGCTATCCCATGTTTGCCTTAGGCGGGACATGAACACATAGAGATGGGCGCAGGAACATTTCTGATGGAGGCAACATCACCAACAAAGATGGAAGGTGAAGAGTCAAAAGGCTTCTTCAGGGTTTCTTCTCTTCTCTAGCCTCACCGGTGCTGGGTGGAGGAAGAAGGCAAGGTGTGGGGAAGGCTAAAGGAAGGTAGGCCCGAGGGAGTCAGAGAATGCAGACACACCCAGGCCAGTGGAAGAGGGAATCAATCGCCTGTGGTACTAGGTGTCAAAGAGGCTTGACAGATGAAAATGGGGGTATTTCTCTAATGTCTTGTGTTTTTGTAACTGTGAGAAACTAAGCATCTAAACATAGACAAAGCATTGCAGCTAAGCTCTGAAGATGAGAGAAATATTGCTGGATATGCCTGGGAGAATGGGTCAAGGTAATTGCTCACTTTTAGTGGGTGGTATGTGCTCTGAGGTAAGAAAACTATTGCAGGAGATAACACGCCAGAGTCTAGGTTTGTGCTATCCAATATGGTAGCCACTGGCCACATGTGGTCATTTATATTTGAATTAAGTAAAATGAAATAAAATTAGGGGACAGTGAGATGGCTCAGTGGATACAGGTTCTTTCTTCCAAGCAAAGCAAGCTGAGTTTGATCCCCAAGATCCCCGAGTTAGAAGGAGAGAACTGACTGTCCTTTCATGTCACACACACACACACACACACACACACACTTTATTGCACACGTATGACACCAAGCCCCATCAAGCACTGTAAACAAATAATTAAAGTAAGAATTTAGCTCCTTGTTTGCTGTAGGCATGTATCAGATTGTTCAGTAGCCGCACGTGGCCAGTGGCAACCATGTTGGACAGGGTGGGTATCAGTGTATTCCCAGTAAACAGGGAGGGTTTGGGTATATTCCCAGCAACAGTAGTACAACATTCTGGTGTGTGTGTGGAGGGGTGGGGGTTGTCACACTGGGAGATTAGCAGGGCTTGCTTGTCTCAGGAAGTCCTGCTGGGCACCACCAGGTGATGTGGCTGGTAGATGCGCTACCATCACTTCCTGATCCCCACTGGTACCCATGCTGAGCCATCATCTTACCTCCAGATCCTACTTAATTATAGGGTCCTTCTGTTTTATCGTGATCCCTGGAGATGGGAGACTCACAGACAGCCTCGTAGTTTGGGGCTGGGGTGTGGGGACTGCTTTAGCAGTCACTAATGCGCCAGAGACAGCAGAGTCTCCAGAAATGCCACACGGAGCAGAGATGGAGACATCTATTTCCTTTCTCCGTAGGTGGATCAAGGTTTTCATCCCCAAATTTTCTATTTCTGCTTCCTACAACCTGGAAACTATCCTCCCCAAAATGGGGATCCGAGATGCCTTTGACGGAAATGCTGACTTCTCCGGGATCACAAAGACACATATCCTGCAGGTTTCTAAAGTGAGTTGATAGAGATGCTTGTAAGAAAGTCCATGCTGGAAGAGATATCTAACAAAGGACTCTCATCGTACTGAGAAGGTGACAGACTAGAGAGGCTGAAGCGTCTAATGGCCAAGGCAAAGGCAAGTCTCATGACTGCCAGGCCTGGGCCATTATGGCCACCACAATCTGACTCACAGGTAGCCATAGTCCCTCCTCAGGCCAATAATCTCAGCTTCTTTGAAAAGCAGGTCTGTTGCCAGCAAGCAACACTGTTGTCATTTATTTGCATCCAGCATCACTTCTGTCCCCCCTACAGCTGAACCTCCAGGCAGATGTAATGACAAGCACTGCCCAGGTGCCTTTTGTACCTGGGGATGGGGTATTTGTCCTGAAGTGGAGGAGGAGTCTGGATCTCTACTTCCAGACTTTTTTGTTCTCTTGTGAGGAGTTGTTGAACCCAGTTCCCACATGATACAGCAATTGTTGCATCTGAAGACTCTTAGCTGGGCAGGTGACTCAGGTACCTCTATTCCCGAAGAATGTTTCTTCCTTCGCTGTCTAGCCTCTATCCACATCCAAGTCCAGATCCGTTGGATTTTTGGTCCTTGGCTTAATATGTTAATTTGATAATGGATTGTGATGGTCAGATGTGGTTCTGGGTACATTTATGTCATTGGTCCCCAGGGAAGAAAGGCTGAAAAGTCCCTATGGGATGTGATGAGCCCAGAAGAGCTTTACCCAAGGGGAAATACTCATATGCACCTGGTAAAATGAATGCCTGTCCTCACAGGTGGTTCCCAGCCCATCCTGTAGCTTGCCCATTGTCGTAGGCTGGAACCTCCTCCCTAGAGGAGAAAGCAGCACCGGTCTTTGGTTGCACCAGACTCATGTCACAGCTTTTGTGGGAGCCACTGACATCTGCTCCCCCTTTTACAGGTTGCTCACAAGGCTGTGCTGGACGTCAGTGAGGAGGGGACAGAAGCTGCGGCAGCCACCTCCACCAAGCTTATAGTCCGCTCAAGAGATAGCCCCTCCTCTGTCATCTCCTTCAACCAACCCTTCCTGATACTACTCTTGGATAAAAGTACAGAGTCTATTCTCTTTCTAGGGAAAGTGGAAAATCCCACCAAGATGTAGGTGGGGAATGAACTGTTGGCTGGTCCCATAATGATGATGCTCAAGAAATAAGGCATGTATTGGATGGTACTTACAGGGTGATGTCAAGACTTGCTTCCTTGCTTGTGACCCACCTGACTCCAACAGGGGTACATTTGCCTCAGGGAGGGCACTCTGGAGGCTCAATTGTCAAAGTGGCAACAGAGCTCGGTCACCCCAACAGTGGTCCCTGTCACCTGTTCTGGGAGTGGGGCAGGCCAGGCAGGGCTTCATCCCTCAGGACTCTTGGGGATGGTGTCACACAAAGCTCAGTGCCCCTGCTTTTATCTCTGGCTTTCAGCACTGCATTCAATAAACCTGAGATGCAAACCCAGCGACCACAGGGCCCGCCCCACCCCATCCATCACCAGGGTCTTATCTGAAAGTGAGTCATTGCTCATCTCCGAGTGCCTGGGTTGTCAGTCCTGATTCATTTGCTCAGACTATTGAACACTTCAACGACACAGTCCCTGGCATGCTGGGTCTAGACGGGAGAGAGACCATTCAATAGGGACCAAACAAAGCTGTGGATAAAGAGTTTATGACAAATTCAGCTAAATGTCATGGAGGCTGTGTGGGACAGCCGGGACACTCACAGTAGAGGAAGGAGTGTATTATGGGGCTCTGCAGTGAGCCAGCATCAGAGGGACAGTGGGGAGGCCCTGTGGCTAGACTATCGCCATCTGTCAGAGATGCAAAAGGAGACACTGGCACTCAGGTAGGTGAAGAGATGATTGCATATGAACACACACTTCCCAAGACGACCACCTAAGCCAGGAGAGGGATGGGAAGCCCACGGGGATTCTGGGGCAAGAAGATAGCAAGCATCAATGCAGTATGGGCTGCAAAGACCTCTCCAAATGCAGCCACCTTCCTGGCCGCACGACACAGCCCTCGAGCCTGCAGCCTCTCCCTGGCTGTGGCTGTTTGTAGTGACAACAGTCTGCTGTACACCGAAAGCCACATTGAATGCCCTGGGCCCTGGAGGCTCCAAGGCAAAGGCAACTCACCGCTGCCCCTTCGGCACCCACTGCCAGGTGTCTCATGTGGGAGCCTGACAACCTCATTTCTCAGCACTGACGTGTCCCACACAGCCTGCAGCAAAGCTGGAGTTCCTTTCTCTGGAGGTACTGGTGCCCCAGCACTCTAAATGTGTCACCCAGGGGCCTTCCCCATGCTCTGTCACATAGCAACAAACCAGAAAGACTATGGAGACTGCCACGGGCTTTCAGAAGGAAGTCGGGGTGGGGTGCCCTCTGCTGGTCACTAGGCAAAAATGTAGGTAGGAAGGTTGATTGTTCCATCTGTGTGGAGAGGAACAATTCACCCCATAGGCTGGCCCATGACTTCAAACTCATCAGCTACAGAATGTCTAGAATGACTAAGCCTGGCATGGGTGTCGTGCCCAAGATGACTAACAGTGTTATAAATAGAGCCCAGGCTGACTAGAGCATCAACACAGACAGCTATAGATTTCCAGCCCTGGACCCAGAGCATCAGGCGCTGGCTTGCTCATACAATCCCAGAGGCCCCTGTATGATGTTTCAGGCTCATTGTATGATGGTCAGGACTCATTGTCAGCTAGACAGTGAGAAGCGTCTGCGTGTCTTTGAGGGTTTATGAAGATGAGGTCCACTGAGGTAGAAAGGGTTTATGTGGAGAGCTGCCATTCCTTGGGCTGTGGTCTCTGACTAAATATAAAGGTGAAACCCAGATGCAAGCACTCATTGCTGTCTTCTTCCGGGCTATGGATGCAATGTGGTCACCCACCTCTAACTCCAGCCACTGAGACGTCTCTGAGCTGTACCTCAACTTTTCTTTTCCTAATCCGGTTGTGTCAGGCTGGTTTTTGGTCACAGCAATAAGACAAGTATGTGTTGCTCTAGCAAAGGGCTGCAACTCATACACCAGGCATTTCCTCAATGGAACATCTTTATTTCTTCATCTGATCGTTCACTGCTCACGCTGTGTATTCTACTAGGCCTGGGGTGTGCAGAGTATGGTTCTCCAGTGCTAATCAACCTTCAGCATGGATGGTTGAGCTGCCTGCGCGGCAGCTACCTAAGCACCTTAGAATGTAAATAAAAACAACAGCCACCCACGCCTGTCTGTGCAGGGATATTTTTAAGAGCATTGTAGACCACGTGGGCACCCTGGCCAGGGCACCGGGCCCTTGGAACTTCTCAGTGGATGTCCATTCTTCATCCCCTACTCAGTGAATCGGTCTGCAGGCATTTAACTGAACTGGGCACCTACTATGGGCAGAAGCAGCAGCCCTGAGGCTGGGGTGTGTGAGGAGTCACCCCCACGCTGAGTTTGCAGTGAGGCAGGAGGAGAGGAATGACATCTCCCATCACTGGGAGGGTCACCAAGTGCAGTGGCATGGCTTCTACTTGCGTCTCTGCCCTGCAGGGCAGCTTCTGGGGTCTGACACTGAGGACCTCACATGGATCATAGATACTCAGCTCGCAGACAAGAGGCAGAAGGGACCAAGCTCAGGATGGAGGACGGCAGAGGAGGGTCCAGGTCAGGCTCTCTCAGACAGAATGGAAAGCCGGCCCTGCCCACTCCTACCCCTGACTGTGCACGCTTTGGGACTGTCTAATTTCCACGCGCTTCATCCCCTCTCTTAAGAATTCATGGCACCCATGCCATTAGGTTGTCAAATGGGCAAGCACACTGTGAATCCTGAGGAAGACTCAGCCCAGAATCTGTGGTCAGTGAGTGCTACCCAGGTATATTGCTGCTTTTAGCGCAGCTGTCTGGAAGATGGGGAGCAAGGATGTTTCTGATAAGCTGATTCCCCACTGGGAGATGTGGAGAAAGGCAGGTATTTATGCAGAATGTCATCCTGGCTTCTGCCCATCATCCACCTCCTCACTCCCACTTCCCGAGTCCCACCATGACACCTGACACCACCCCCACACCCCCCCACCCCCCCACCCCTCACCCTCCATCTTCCTGGAGCTCAGAATTGACTGGAGAAGAAGGTACCTTTTGTTTTCTTTTGTTTTTTTCTAGACAGGGTTTCTCTGTGGCTTTGGAACCTGTCCTGAAACTAGCTCTTGTAGAACAGGCTGGTCTCAGACTCACAGAGATCTGCCTCTGCTTCCCAAGTGCTGGGATCAAAGATGTGTGCCACCATCATGACGGTACCTTTCTGCTCCGTGGTTCATACTTGCTTTCCGGGAATGCCACACACCCCCCTCTCCGAAGCCCAAAGGACCCCTCATATAATGAGTTTGGGGGGGTCAGTGACATTGTCGTCACCTGCTTTGCAACGGCTGTGAAGATTAGTGTAATGACATGAGCAGGTGTGTGGTACAGGGACCAATGTGTGACACTGGCTCTGCTCAGCACAGGGCTGGCCACTGTCACCGTCTAAAAGTCACAAGCTATTTGTTCAGAAGTGGCCTATCAGTCACATTTCCTTCCTCCTCTGTCACAGGTGGTCATACCATTCTGACAGAGGCAAAACCCTGGCAGAGAATGTGAGTTTCTTTCATAATTAATAAAGTTTGTTCTTAGACCACTTTATACAAATATTCAGAATTCTGCTCTCTCTCTCTCTCTCTCTCTCTCTCTCTCTCACACACACACACACACACATCCTATTTCATTTTCCTCCCACCCCAGACAGCATCCTTTCTTCCTTACAAGTTTCCTCCCCAATATTTACTAGTTTCTGTTTTATTAAATGTCCCACAGAGTTTAACTAAGGCCATCTGTGTGACTCTGAAAAACCCACCACCAGAGCCTGGTACACTCGCCAGCAGGTACACAACTGGATAACATGCCACCCTCTCTCCCAGAGCCTGTTAGGCCATCAATGTGAGAAAGTGAGTTTCTGTGTGGAAAACAACATGTGTGTATTTTCAGAATGCATGTGTGCTTTCCGGCACATGTGCCAACACAACAGACACAGATCCAGTTAGGTGCAGGTTGTTTCTACAAGGTTCTCACAGACCAAGGGGAGATGAAGCACGTTGCAAGCCAGCACGAGGAGTGCGGGGTGATCCAGAGTGCTACATGCCTTCCTCGGGGAAGAATTAGCACAGCCCGGGCAGGTGGGGAGAGGGTGGCTGTTAGGGTGGCTTCCTGCAGGAGAGATACGGGCTGAATCCCAGGCTATTGTCAGCCTGAGAAGCAGAAGGGGTGGGGATGGCATTCTAGGCAGGGGACAAGGTGTGCCCAGAAGACAGCAGGACTCCTTTGCTTATCAGTGATTGTCTCAGATGGAGCAATAGCAAAGTTTCAGGAGTGGGAGGTGAGGTATGGTGTTGGTATACCGTACTGAGGCATGTCAGTAACTATCATGAGCATCTGGGAGAAAGGGGCTCACTGTCAACGGTAAAGGGGGACATGGGCCTATTTCAGAAGGGAGAACAGCGAGGCACTGCCTGGCCTCGTGCCAGGAGGCAAAGAAGCAGCAGGCAAGTAAGGGGAGATGAGGGTTAGTGCCGCTGGGGTTGGGATCCAGTGCTCTAGAGAGGAATGCAGGACAGGCCCCGTGAGCCTCCTGAGCGGCTCCACTGAGGGGACCCTAGAGCCTGATCCCAGGTGACAAGAACATGGCACACGGCTCTCCTCCCTAAAGCTCAGGCCTGAATCCATTCTCCCGCATTGTGTCCTCTGCACCTCACAGGACCCTGTGTGCGGCCACAGTGTGAAAGAAAAGAGCGCAGATGTCCATTCTCAGGGGCCCCATTCCATCAGGAGGTCTGGCATCATGTGAGCACCGTCACCCGCTCAGCTATTTGGAGGGACCGGGACCATGTGGCAGGAATTTGAGAGTGCCCCCGGCTCTCCCCAGGAGAGGAGGAGGCTGGGAGAACATTAGAGATGAGGAGAGAGACAGACATTATCTGCCGCTTCTCCCAAATGATGGATGCATCAAGGAGAAGATGCATCAGGTGGATCAGGGAGCATGTGTGACAAATAGACTCCCCCTTCCCACTGGAGGACAGTCTCCTGGGACACTTCACACTTTAAAGATGCTCTTTGCTGATGAGAGTTACTTGTAGAATTAGTTAACTCTACTTTTTAATGTTAAAATTGTATTCATTTTACTGAAACCAAGATGCACGGTCTGTAGGAAAGTTGGAGACTATGAGAGCTTACAAAGGCGCTTGAGGAGGGTGGAGTTGGTAAAGAGTTGTCCTGTAAGCATGGGGCGTGGCTTAGATGGCCAGCACCCATAGAAAATGCCGAGTGTGATGATTTGAGCCTGTAATCTCACTGGGGAGGCAGAGACAGGTGGATGCCTGGGGCTCCCTGGGCAACCGACGTGGTCCAATCAGTGAACCCTGGGGCTCAATGTGTGAGA